GCTTTCCTCAGCGTGAGGAACCTTGTCCTAAGCGTGAGGAACCTTGTTCTGAGCGTGAGGAGCATTGTCCTCAGCGTGAGGAACCTTGTCCTCAGCGTCAAGAACCTTGTCCGCAGCGTGAGGAACCTTGTCTTCAGCGTGAGGAACGTTGTCCTCAGCGTGAGGAACCTTGTCCTCAGCGTGAGGAACCTTGAACTCAGCGTGAGCAACCTTGTCCTCAGCGTGAGGAATCTTTCCTCAGCGTGAGGAACCTTGGCTCAGCGTGAAGAACCTTGTCCTCAGCGTGAAGAACCTTGTCCTCAGCGTGAGGAACCTTTCCTCAGCGTCAGGAACCTTGTCCTCAGCGTGGGGAACTTTGTCCTCAGCGTGAGGAACCTTGTCCTCAGCGTGAAGAACCTTGTCCTCAGCGTGAGGAACCTTGTCCTCAGCGTAAGGAACCTTGTCCTCAGCGTGAGGAACCTTATCCTCAGCGTGAGGAACCTTGTCCTCAGCTTGGGGAACCTTGTCCTTAGCGTGAGGAACCTTGTCCTCAGCGTGAGGAACCTTTCCTCAGCGTGAGGAACCATGTCCTCAGCTTGAGGAACCTTGTCCTCAGCGTGAGGAGCCTTGTCCTCAGCGTGAGGAACCTTGTCCTCACGAAGTTGTGCAATCGAGTGAGATCATATATAGCAAAATCACAGTTCACGAAACAGACATCCTTAATTTTCATTTCACGGAGCATTTTTATGAACAATCACGCCTCACGGCTGTAGAACAAATCACATTTCAACGACACTAAAATCAAGCATTTCACATTTCACGCGAACAAATATTGACCATTCACGGCTCACGAAAATACCCTTTGCAACCCTCTTTTCTAGACACTTTTCGAGGTCACAGGAAACGGCATATACTTTTTTGTGCAACTCGCCAAACCATATTCTTTTTTTCTTGTGACCTCGTGGTCTACCTTTGAAAAACGAATACCATGTTATTCTTTGAAAATCATAATCGGTCAACAAGATAATCATGAACGTTTTATCCAGTTATCTTGTATCTTTCAGGATAAGACAGATGCACTGCGCACTTTAATTCACTCAATATAAGCTCGGAAGAGGCCGTAATCTAATTTTGCATGTGTTATAAACCAATCTAGTCGTGGTCAATACTGAAAACGTCCGGAAAGCAAAAGACTATCTGGCGCGAATGGCGATTTTTGTGTCACTATGCATGCTGTATAAAGATCTCGTGTCCAGGACACTTTACATCTGTGTAAGTAGAGGCATCGGCATTTGCAGCGTCGCTGCCTGCATCATTTATCTCAATGACTCATAATCTTCTTCTGTGTTCATTTCTGAAAGATGAAGCTCTGTGTAATTTGTACCAGCCTCAGCTGATTGTGGTTCAGGTTTTGATTGAGGTGTTCTGTTTCTCAATGACTGATAATTTTCTTCTGCATTTATTTTAATGTAAGATCTAGTTCTTGATAAGCTGTACGTTTCAGCTTCAGTTGTCTGTGCTTCAGGATCTTGTTCGGGTGCTCTGTTTCTCAGTGATTGATAATTATCTCTTTTACTGCTAAGCGTAAGATAAGACAAGAGAAAACAAGATAAGGCGAAGAAAACAAACACAGAAATATCGCTTTCCAAGCGTTATAAATTGTTTGTAAATTGTAATAAGTAAATTCAGTATGTATAGTTAAGAGTTAGACCAGCCAGAAATTAACAGGCCATACAATGAATACAAAATACACCAAAACAACTGCATCGTTACCGGATGATATAAACTGACTAATGAATTCCCCGTATTCTGGTCGGTTAACAGCAATGCATTCTGGTCGGTTAACAGCAATGCATTCTGGTCGGTTAACAGCAGTGCATTCTGGTCGAAGGAACGGAAGTAAAATCTTACTTTCAGAGCCCAATACGAATTAGAACTGCTTACTTGCTCGGTCGCTTCAGGGTCCGCGATCGTTTCAAATTTCAACTCTTGTTATAGATTAAATCACGAACGTCCCGTTGAAGAAAAATAACAATAATTGCGCGGAATACCTCCTCGCCTTAAGAGGAAACGGTGAGTTATAGATAGCATCAATTCATTAATTAAAGTTACACTGTCTCAATTCAGCTAATAATTGAATTCATTTTCATAACTACTTTGTGAACTCTAGGCTATAATATGATTTAAAGTTTCTTTTATTTCAATGTCCAGGCGAGACTATAAGTGCAGTTCAATAGTTTATCGGTTTAAAAAAAGCAGTTAAGTTTAACGAACATGCACTAACGTGAAATTGCTAATGATAAATCGAAATTGATTCGAAATATATACAGTTTAAATTAATTATATCTAGCTTATACGATTAAGGAGTGGACATTGTAGCGGATTATATGATGCAATAATTGAAGCTAGTATTAACACTTTAATTAAATTTCAAGGATTTGAATCAACTCCTTCCTAAAAGCATGCCCTGACAGCGCGTATCAGCTAACAATTGATTTTTTTTTTAAATTGTTTTCTTTAACTTCTTTGGCCTGATTAAATATTGACACTTATTTCTTTGTTTGGTCACAGTCATGCCTGTTTGACGCATATTCTTAATGTTAATTTAAATTTGCATATAAATATTGTTCAAATACTTTGTATCATAGTTCCTGTGACGTTTGAAATCTTTATTGCTTATATGGTTTTCGCGAATCATAGTCTCGTGAAGACGTCGACTAACGTTGCCTTACAGGCCAAGTTCTGTCTTATCAAAGGTGAGTAATTGCTGCCGTAGCGAGCGAGCGTGAAGCGAGCGAGCGAGGCAGCAATCCTAATCTTTATGTATATGTATATATATATATATATATATATATATATATATATATATATATATATATATATATATATATATATATATATATATATATAAGGCAGATGAAAACTCGATCGTTTCGGCGTATTTCGGCCTACCACAATGCACTGCTTCCGGGCCGGCAGGCTATTCTTGCCTAATAAACAGGCATAAGGCAAACAAGCAATGTGATCATCTTTCATCTTTGGTTTTCTTTTATGGAAAGCCATAGCTGGCGTAAGTGATCAAACGGCATTTTGTCGATACGCAGTGGTTCGAGCGTTATACGCGGTGGTTCGAGCATTATGCGTGGTGCTTTCGCCATTATACGCGGTGCGTTCGCCATTATACGCAGTGGTTCGAGCATTTATATACACGGTGCTTTCGTCATTATACGGGGTGCTTTTAACATAATTTCCATATTCTTTCCATGTATATAATCTCACGATTGCTTAATAAATATGGTAGGCGTAGTTATAAAAAAAGTGACTGCACTTTGTGTGTTCCTATATAATATTATTATCATATAGTGTTGATTTATTAGTAATAAATATGTGTATATAACATAGGTATATAAATTAATATAACGCAGCGAATGCGCGCCAAGCAGTTTAAACGCGGTTGAAATACGATATTAATTAAAATCTTGAATGTGCCGTATGATTTAATTATGTTTTAGGATTTAAAGCCTTTAAAAATGCTTTGTCATTTGTATTTGTACTTGTACTGCATCACAACGCAGTGCGTAAGTGAACAGATTCCTCATGTGAGGTTGTCTTGTAGGCTATATATTTTTGCCTTCTTTGTCAAATCTTTGATAAACATTATTAAACACGCAAATTTAGTGAGACGCACACTCGCACATGTTAAATGTCACCTGCATGTCATTGTCATTGTTAAAGGTAACCCCTGGTCTAAATCATATGATTATTAAAGAGGGCCGTTTTGACTTTGGGCCGTTTTGACTTTGGGCCGTTTTGACTTTGGGCCGTTTTGACCTAGCACCGTATTTGTGGGCAAATTGTCTATACAATTTTATATACTAGATATCACAGCCATACCTGCCATTTTGATCTTTTCCTCGCGTTAGATAAGTTGATAAGTACAGTCATTCTTGCTAGCCATCGATCGTACCTGTTCGGCTGTTCCTCTTTCGATACGAAACTTCGAGCGCCGAGTTATCATACGGCACATTCAAGTGTATAAATTATGGATGATTCCAACGGACCATTCCCCAATTAACCAACATTTTGAACTCAGCAAGTCTAGACTTTGCAATTTTCAGTCATTTTAGATTACAAACGGGAGATGGTTACCACTTCTGTGCGTAATACAAATTACAAAATGACTGAAAATTACAAACCTTGCAGGGCTATATTATGCGCATTTTACAACATTTTGCAACGAAACTTTGGAATATTACTAATTTTGTGATGCTCTTTCAAGTTGTGATGAAATTTTTGTTCAGGCTAGTTAAGATCAAAATTTTGGAAAAGTGATAACCATTTCCCGTTTGTAATCTAAAATGACTGAAAATTGCAAATTTCGCAAGGCTATATTATCCGCATTTTACAACATTTCGCAACGAAACTTTGGAATATTACTAATTTTGTGATGCTCTTTCAAGCTGTGATGAAATTTTTGTTTAGGCTAGTTAAGATCAAAATTTTGGAAAAGTGGTAACCATTTCCCGTTTGTAATCTAAAATGACTGAAAATTTAAAATTTCGCAAGGCTATATTATCCGCATTTTACAACATTTCGCAACGAAACTTTGGAATATTACTAATTTTGTGATGCTCTTTGAAGCTGTGATGGAATTTTTGTTTAGGCTAGTTAAGATCAAAATTTTGGAAAAGTGGTAACCATTTCCCGTTTGTAATCTAAAATGACTGAAAATTTCAAATTTCGCAAGGCTATATTATCCGCATTTTACAACATTTCGCAACGAAACTTTGGAATATTACTAATTTTGTGATGCTCTTTCATGCTGTGATGAAATTTTGTCTAGACTTTTTGAGTTCAAAATTTTGGTTAATTGAGGAATGGTCCATTTTGTCGGGGATTTTTCTCTTCCTGGCCAATGTGATCGAATGAATGAGATGCAAAAGACTTAGAATTGTTTACTTCTGAAAAGCGACTCTATACTTTTGTGTGCGAGTTCACTCATTTGCATCCGTCAGAAACACAAAATCGCCGACAAAATTGCCAGTATGAACCAGGATTAAGATCATTAAAGTTGTCTAGTAGAACCAAGGGTCATCAAATCTATTAGGTTAACAAAACTGATGCATGGTTTCAATCGTCCAAAGGTCCAGTGGGTGAACCTGACTTGATTTTAAAACAACCATAACATTTGTTAAACCATGACCAATTTCATAACCTTATGGCCAAAATTCATCTCCCATTTATATTATATCCACTAATAATTAGTTGTGTAGAAAGTTTGGGGTCGGTTGTAAACACTGACGCCTGTACTGTCAATGCTGTTTTTGAATAGCTGGAGGGTGAGTAGTCCCATAGTAGGGTACGACACTAATTAACTCTCCAGCTATTCAAACAGGCCTTAAAATATCGGTCGGTCACGGACATTGTCCGACCCATTCGTGAAATTGTCCGACGTAGAGAGGAAACCACCGGACATTCTGTCCGACCTAAGTGAAACTGAGGTTTATTGTTTGTCCGACCTGAGTGTATTTGTGTCCGACCGCACTGTAGCTTTGTCCATCGTA